AGATCTTCCTTCCTCAGCCCACTGATTCAAATGCCAGTATCTTCTAGAAACACCTTCACAGACATACCTCGAAATAATGTCTAACCAGCTGTTTGGTATCCCTTAATCCAGTCAAATTAACATCTAAAATTAACCAGCACAAGCCCCACGTGGAAGTTATGCTTGTACCCATTTTACAGACGAGGAAACCAAGAACCTAACAGGTGAAAGGACTTGCCCAAGGGCACACAGCTGGTAAGTGGTTGTTTCCACCGCAGGTCAGTCTGTCTCCAAACCCACAAACTTTGGTTTCGGTGACCAACAAGGTTCTTTGCCCCAAAAGCCTGTTATCTTCCTGAAATAGAAAATCCAAAAATCTCCTGAAGTCAAGACTCTAGTCTAAGAGATACTGTATGTTCTCCTCTGGGTGGACTGTGCTTCAGTGTTCTCACCTAAAATAAGCATATAAATAGATTGCTGAGAGGACTAGCCAAGTTAATATACGTGAAGCACGTAGAAAAGTACCTTACACAGATTAAGCAGTCACTCAATTATAGCTATTACTACCATGGGTGGGTTCTCTGTGATATTTTATTCTATCCTCATCTCCCAATATAAACTCCAAATCAAGTGGGAGGATGTGCTCAGAGATGGAAATAAAATTACTTTCTAGCACACTGAAGACAATAAATGCTTTTTAAATGGACAAAATTACCACAGTGCTTCCCCGTAATAATGAAAGGAGACCAGCTCTGCTGAAGTTCTCTCTTCCCAACTTCCTGGGAGAGCGTCAGTGTGCTTTACAAAGGGGGTCCCCTTATATAGAAAAAGCCACCCAAATATTTTCAAAGATCCAACTCCAGAAGTCACTTGATAGGCAAAAACAAAAGCAAAGAAACAATGAACTAAGCCTGAAACTTCTTAAGAGAATTTTGGCATGGTTGGGGGTTAAAACCACAGTGACATCATGATTTGGGGGGAAGGCTTTCATAGGAACTGAAGCTTCCACTACCCTCAGGCCTTGGTACACCAAACTCAGGTTTCTACCCTGACCCAGGCTATGCCCCTCGTTCTCATCAGTGCCGATGGCTCACTGTGGGAGTGGGAGTGATCCTCACAGGAAAAAGGGGTGGGCATAGGAAGAACCAGGGAGGCATCATTGTCAAAGAAACTGGGGTGATTCTAATATGCACACACCCTAAAAGTTTAAGGCATTATTTCCAAAAGAAGCACTATTAAATGTCCTTTGATCCAAGATATATTTTATAAATGCCTATAATGGAGTTTGTTTAATGCTCATTCACTCAACAAAAACATATTAAGCACATAAGTGGGACTGCTCATGCTACTTGCTCACAGTAGCTGTGAGCGAAACATAGTCCATGCTTTTGTCACATTTATGGCCTAGAGGACAAGAGAGATGTTAATCAAATAATTGAACCAGTAAGTGGTGAAATATGATGTGATAAGTAGAATGAAAAAGACCCAATGACAAAAAAAAAAAATGGCTAGATGGAAGGATAGAAAAGAATTTGCAACTGAGTTCCGAAGGATGCATAAGAGAGAACTAAGTGAGGAGGAGAAGAGAGAGCATTCTGGAGACAGAGAACATTCTAGAGATCAGCAAGGAGTAAGTGGGCAAGTGTTGGCGGCCAGACCAGGGCCTTGACAGGTATTCTTTTATTTTTTCTTTTAGAGGTGGGGTCTTGCTATGCTGCCCAGGCTGGAATGCAGTAGCTGTTCACAAGCTGCAGCCTTGAACTTCTGGACTCAAGTGCTCCTCTCACCTCAGCTTCCTAAGTAGCTGAGACTACAGGCATGCCACTGAGCCAGGCATCTTAAGACATGTATGCACCTTGAGCACATGGAGATAGCAGAGAGAAAGGAACCAAAATAGTAGGCAGAAGGGTGTTGGGGGTAATGCCATTGATCCCCAGATATTCATCCTTCCTGTTGGTCAACCTGAGCTCATTAGGGAATCCTGCCACCTCTGCACCCCCTCCATGCTTCGTCAAGGATGGACAGGCTGTGATGCACAGCTGTCGTCCCTGTAGCCTGTCTGTATTTGAGGAAATCTTACATTGTAAGTCCCAGCACCGCCTAGAAGTTATTGAGATGCAAAGTTCCTACCTCCCTTGCAACTGAGACAAGGGATATGACGTAGGCTTTGCCAGTCAGAGGCACCACATGAGCCTGAATCCAGATGTGAACCTGAGTTCTGTTGATGTGACCAATGGCAGAAGCAGCCAGCTTTGGGGATGGCGGTTGCAGAGTGGAGCTCCTGTTGGAGAAGCGGGACCCGTGCTGACGGCATCAGCGGTTGCAGTCAGGGCAAGCTCCTGGCACTCGGCACTCCAGGGCGGCAGAAGCAGGGTGGTGGTTTAGTTCATCGGGCCAGGCCTGCAGTGTGGTTTGGGGCATTTTTCCTAGAAGCTTAGCCTCAAGTTATTTTCTCCAGCCCTCCCAGTGATTCTGTGGGATACCTAATATTCTCTATTGCAGTCCCCTTTCTGCTTAAACCAGCTAGCATTTCTACCCCAGAACGCTGACCTCTCACAGGCCAAAGCCAATCAGAGCCCATGAGACTTGGTGAGAGGCTATCTGGGGGCAGTGGGTACTCGAATTTTCGGCTGCAAGAGAGAGCTCCAGGAAGCCAGCTCACTCTCCTTCCCTTACATGGAAGCTTGGTTGCTACCAGTGGCTTTTCCCGCAACTGTGATGTGAACTTAAGATAGGGCCTTTCATTGAGAAATGCTCTGTCTTAAAAAAAAAAGAAAGAAAAGAAAAGAAAGAAAGAAAGATAGGGCCTGTCTCTTTTGGCAGAGAAACCAAAAGATCCTGGGTCCTTCATGACATCACCAAGCTGCTGAACTGACCCCACACCCACAAGGCCTTGGACCTCCCCTTCCCTGAGCTAATACATGTGGTCAAACCAATTCCAGTTGGCTTCTCTGTTCCTGGCAGCCCGGACATTCACACTGGCGCAGGGAGGAGGGGAGCAATTTATGGGGAATAAGCATGCGTCCTCCCTGGCTGTGTCAGGAGCCGCCCCAAATCTTGTGCTACCTTTAAATCTACTCCCTCCCTCCAATATCAGCCCAACTCAGTTTAAGTCCTACCTGGCTCCAAACAATTCATTCCAGAAAACAGGTCCTTTCTTGGCCCTTCCCATGCTTTGACTCTGTCTTTGTTGGGTGAAAAGTAGTTCTGTTACTTGCCCAGCTCACACATCTGGTAAGTGGCAGAGCTGAAGGTCTGGAGGCAGTCCAGATTCCAGGCTATTAACCACTAAGTTTAATGCCATGCACCATCCAGCCTCATTACACTAAAAAAAAAAAAGCTCAAATTTAGCTCCTTATTTGCTAACTGGCCTTGAACAAGCTTCTTAAGTCTCACTGTGAAATGAAGTAAATGATGCCAACCTCAGAGAGTTCGGTAGTCATCTGTGCTGCTCACTGATGGCTTCTGGCTCCCCACCTCCTGGGCAAACGCAGGATTGTACTTACTGGTCTCCTGGGGTGGGGTGGTGTCACGTGACTAGCCCTAGCCAGGGAGTGTGAATGGAGGAATATGTGTCATTTCTGGGCCAGAGCTCTGCCTCTCTGGTATGACAAACAGCAATGCCAAGGATGGTGGTGGCTCTGTTGAGCAGAGCCCCCAGCCAATCCATCACGGACACATGATGTGAGCAAAACACAAAGATTGTTTTAAAGCCGCTGTGGTTTGATGGCTGTCATTGCACGCACTAGCCTGTCCCGACTAACACATACAGTACAGTCATTGGCTCGCTGATTCACTCAAATGCGTTTCTGCTGCGGTTCCAAACCCCACCTAGATAAGAGAAGAAGCTCAGGCCATGGTCCTGAAGGTTCTGGCTCAATCTGTCTGGGATGGAGCCTGGACCTCTGCAGTTGTCTGGAGCTCCCGGTGATTGCGATGCGCTGGGAAGCCTGAGCCCTCTGCATGACTATGGGCCCACTTGTGATGGTCCTGGTGAGACATGGTCCCTACCCTTGAGGGTCACATAGACTGGAGAAGGCCAGGTGCAGACATAGAAAAATGACATTCAAACTGGGTAAGAGAACTGAAACCTGTGAAATTAGGTGAGAATGTGTAGGAGCTCTATGAACCATAAAGCCTTACATGTGATAGAAAGTAGAGGTGCATTCTGGCAAAGCTATTCATCAACCATGTGACCCAAGAGCAGCTGTACAGGCTCTCAGCCTAACATATATAATATTATTTGTCTCTCTCTTTTCCATATATGAAAATCAAAGCTTAGAAAAGTTCTAAAACGTATCCCATGGTCACAGAGCTAGCACATGGCTGAACTAGAATTCAGACCCAGGTCCTTCTGAATCTAGAGTCCTAGCAGGCTCACACAAGGCCCCTGCTCATCTCTCCAGCTTTAGCTCTTGTCTTCCCTTTCACCTTGAACCCTATCTTCTAGCTACACCAAACTGCTTGTCATTCTCGGCCCATGCCACACTATCTCATACCTCTGTGCTTTGACTTTCCATCTGTCTGACATGCCTTTCCTCCATACTCGCTACCTTGCCTCCAAACACCGGCCAAATCCTTGAACATTCAATCTGATGGCCTCATCCCGGTGCTGAAACCACCTCCCACCACGTGGCCCTGCACCTGCTGACTGGGTGCCTCCACCATTAGATTGCATCCACGTGGAGGGGGGAGCCTTCGCTTCCTCTCTCTGGGTCATCTGACTAGCATCGTGAACACTTGTGCTAAAGCATCAGCCACAGCTGCCTGAAGACTTAGCTCAGCAAAACCAAAACCCTACAGCTTATAAGACAAACCATTCCTGGGAGGTAGTAGGCATGGGAGGATGGGAAAGGTTGGTTAACGGATACAAAGTTCCAGCCAAATGGGAGGAATAAATCCTAGAGTTCTATAGCAATGCAGGCTGAATATGGTAATTTATTGAGTATTTTCAAAGAGCTAGAAGAGAGGATTTCGAATGTTCACAGCACAAAGAAATGATAAATGTTTGAGGCGATGGATATGCTAATTACCCTGATTTAATCATTGAACATTATGTACATGTATCAGAAAAATCACTCTGCATCCCATAAATTTGTACAATTATAACATGTCCACTAAAATAAAAGGAAAAATATTACCTTAATAACAAAAAAGACAAAGAAATATTTGTTTTTAAAAAAAGTATTTAAAAAAGCAGGCTCAGGGTTCTATCCAGCCTCTGCCACTTTGTGGCTTTGTGACCACACGTCTCTCTGAACCTCTGTTTCTCAGATGTAAAATGGAACTAATGACAGTGCCTCACTCACACACAGTTGTTGGGGGAATTCAAAGAGATGTAATGTGTACAATAAACTTGTGCACATTGCCTGGCTCCTAAGGAAATTCTAGCTGCTTTCGGCATTGTTATTATCCTTGTCATCTTCTTCTTATTACTACTACTATGCAACATGCCCCCGTAGCTATCACTATTAATATTATTACTCACCACATCCTCCCTCCCCTCCCGCCAACCCTGAGTGACTTTGCTAAACATTCCTTCTTCACTGTCCCGTGATGGCGTGGTGCTCCGGCGGTGATCTAGCACCCCTGGTGCCCCCTGCCCAGTTGGATCCTCAGGAAGTCTGTGGCTGCCAAGCCCATTCCATCCAGGCTTCCTGGATGTAGCTAAGAAAATACGGGCTGTCCTCAGGCTCCCTCTCCCTCCGACTTGACAGCTCCCCACTCGGGGGTATTTCGGGTCCATCCCTGGTCATGCCAGGTCACTCTGAAGGTGGCCTCCACCCCTCGCGACGGGAGTGGCAGGATTCCAGTCAAGCAGGCCCGTGGGCTTCTGCAGCTGTTGATAACACTGAAAGGAATAATACCTGGAACAGGCTTATTTTCTTTCCTCCCAGGAGGAGCGCAAGGAGTCAGGCTTTTGAGTTTCCAATAATAAACTAAGTCCCTGTGCCATCGTTGGAGTGAGCAACTCCAGCCCTTCCTTACTTATCTTTCACACTTCCCGAGTGCGGCAGGCAAAATTTGGGTTTTCCGGCGAAGCATTCCTTGAGGTTTCACGCCGAGCAACTCCGAGCCCGTTAGGAAAGGACGGAAAAACAAGAAAATTCTCCCACACCACAAAGCATTGCAAGCACAGGGAGCCTTAGAGGAAAACCAAACTTCAGGCAACAGAAGAAAGGAGAACGTAAGCTCGGCTTTTCTGATTGAAAGGATTCTGAAGACCCAGCCATGAAAGGTTTCCGCTGGGATCCACTTGGAGGTGAAAATTCACGAGGCCTGCGGAAAGGGACATCAAGATGGGAAGTCAGAGGGAAACGGAACAGCATGCATTGGGGGGCAGAGATCAGCAAGGAGATGAGAAGGCAGCTGGCCAGAGCCAAGGTGCTTGTAGGCAGAAGGACAGTGGCCGAAGTAAGAGGGCCATGGGGTGAAAGTTTTCTCCAGAGGGCTGGAGCAAAAAACAGGCCCCTAAAATTTTTTTTTTTTTTTTTTTTTTTTTTTTTTTTTTTTTTGAGCCATGTTGTCACTTTGTTGCTCAGGTTAGTTTGCGTTCCGTTGTCTACTGACTCATTGAGCTGGAACAATGAGCTCGCATTCCAGAGCCTGGGCTGACCCTCCTGTACCCCATTGGCCGATAAAGTATAAAGCGTATATTTAGTGCTTTTTTGCACTGAGAAGGACTGTAAAATCAGCTGGGTTCTCCTTTGTGTGGCTTCTGACAGCAATATCTAGCATTCAATGCTGTCTTCTCATGTCAGCCATTTCCAGAGGAGAAAAGATGAGAGGAGGAATGAAAGGAGAACGTTTAAAAAAAATCATCAAAGTTTAAGCATCAGGTCTTCAATTAAAAAAAAAAATTACTAATAAGGAAAGGAGGGATGTTAGAATAAACTCTGTGGCAATGGATTGAAATCAGTAGTATTGATATGAACTAAAGGTTTCTTAACATACATTGATAGGTAGGTATATGTAGATGCGTGAACATGCATGGGTTGTGTACATAATATATCCCCAAGCTCTGAACACCGAGAGCACCTAGAGGCTAGGATTGCTAGCAGCAATGTGCGCACCTACCACCCAGACCTTGGTTTCTAAACACCATTCTCCAGTAAGAGGACCAGGGCTCCTTGGAGAAGTGGTTGCTTCAAGAGTTGGAATAGGAAAAATACAAAATGGATCTGGAATATCTTGTTGTGCCAGAAAATAGGGAATTGGTCAAAAAAGGATGGGGTCTTATTGGAAGGATATAGGAGCAAACCTGAAAGCTCCCGACAGCCAAAGCTGCAGCAATCCAAGCAAGAAAATAATGGTAGAATTGGATTATAAGTCAAAGAATAAAAATAAATACCCATGGATCCATATTGATAGGAAGGAAGGGAGGAAGGGGGGGAGGAAGGAAGGGAGGAAAGGACTACAGTTAATAAATGTAGAAGCAATGAGGGAAATAAAAGAAATCACCGTTAGAACACCATAGTAGCAATTGCTGAGGCAAGATCCAGGGACAGATCTTAAGTGAGCAAAAGTTTGAGGACCACATATACTCACCAGCAAATTGGTATTAACTGAACAGCACCTAAGTGGTCACATAGGTACTACAGTAATAGGGTATTGGGCAGGGGGGAGGGGGGAGGGGGGCGGGTATATACATATATAATGAGTGAGATGTGCACCATCTGGGGGATGGTCATGCTGGAGACTCAGACTTGTGGGGGGAGGGGGGGAAATGGGCATTTATTGAAACCTTAATATCTGTACCCCCATAATATGCCGAAAAAAAAAGTTTGAGGAAAAAGAAGATAGTCTCACCCATATGCAGGAGCTAAAGATCTCATGGAGAGGGAGAGTAGAATGATGGTTAACAGGGGCTGGGCAGGGCGGGGGTAGAGGGAAGAAGAGAAGTTGGTTAATGAGTACAAACATACAGTCAGGTAGAGGGAATAAGTTCTATTGTCCGATAGCACAGTCGGGTGACTATTGTTAACAATGATGCATTGTGTACTTCAATGTAGCTAGAAGAGCGGATTTGGAACATTCTCAGGACAAAGAAACGATAAATGTTTGAGGTGATGGATATCCTAAGTATCCCGAATTGATCATTACACATTGTACACGTGTATCAAGATATCACATGTACCCCATAAATATGTACAATTATTATGCATCAATTAAAAAAAGTTTTTTAAATGAAAAAAACCATAAATTCATACCTATACCACCACGACTGCTGCCACCACATTGCATGCAGTCCTCCCAACAGTCCCGCCAGGTAGAGAGTGAACGAAAACAACCAGCACCCCCAATACAGAGCCCTCTCTAGAAGAAATAACAACATGGAGCGTAGCCACGCCAGCATTTTAAGGTTGTGTGAGGGTGTGTGGCTTACTCATCAGCGGGGAAATAAATCTCTCTGTTGCTCTTTCCCCCTTGCGAAACCTGACGTGAGAGGAAGAGACCAGATTCTTTCCAGATCCTCAGACCCTTGTAAAGTCTGGCACACGCACAGGGCCAGCGTGTGTGCGTATGTGTGTGTCTGTTTGTGTGTCTATATGAGTGTGTCTGTGTCTGCGTCTGCCTATGGGTGTGTGTCTGTTGTGTGTTTGCATGTCTGTGTGTGTGTCCGTGTGTATATGCATGTGCATGTGTGTGTTTGTGTCTGTGCATGCTTCTGTCTCTGAATCTGTGTGTGCTGTTGTGTCTGTCGATGCTTGAGTGTGTCTTTGTCTCTGTGTGCCCTTGCTGGGGGGTTGGTTTGTGTGAGTCTGGGTGTGTCCGGGTATGTCTTTGTCTGAGTGTGTGCGTGTTGGATATCACAGCAAGGGACTGAATTCCTATGAGAGGGAAGACAATAAATTGCCCTAAGAGTCAGAGGGAGAGCAAGAAGTCAGCCAGGACAGGAGGAAGCCCTGGGTGACAGAGAGAATGTCAGGTCCCCGGAATTCCATGGCGTCTTTGTGAGGGCATTGGAATTTCCCCAGAGTCTGGAATGCGCATGGGGTGGCAAGTCAAGCCAGTACTATCGAGAGACCTCAAAGGTCAAGCCAATACTATCTAGAGACCTCAAAGGGCAGGGAAACCCGCCCCCGCATGGCACCTGGTTTACCCAGTGTCGTCTCCTCTTTGCAGCTGAGCACAGAGGCCCACAGCTCGTGCTTTTATAAGACTGCAGAGCGGCACCGGCCACTGAGCTAGCAGGGGCCTCTGGACTGGCCCTTGGTGGAAAACACTGAACCACAGTGAGAAAATTGCTCCCCTTCCATTTGCTTTCAATCCTTCCCATGAGAAAGCTTCTTGTGCCAGTCCGTCCATCTTTAATGCCTCTCTAACACTTGCTGATATTTTTACAAAGAAAATACTTTTCCTTTGTTATCAATCAACACTAACAATGCCCACTTAGTGGGCATTGATAACAAAGTGTTATCAATGCCCACTAAGAGCATCACAACGCAGGCGTGGGGACGGGAACATATTCTCTCCTGGGTACGTGATGGCACAACAATAGTGGGACACCCCCGTGAGACAATTCCAGCATGACCCTTGAGTTAATCTGGCTGTCTTATCTACATAAATATATGGCGTGGAAGAGGAAGATATTGTTTTTCAAATTTGTAGACATTTTAATTTTTGGTAATTATTTTGGGAGTTGACTATGAAGCATTCAACTCATTAGAAACCATTTAATATTTGAAGCTGTCCTGAGCTCTTAAAAAAAATTGAGACTGTTATGATCTTAGTGGTAAATTCAGGAAAGTTTTTGTTTGCTTGCTTGCTTGCTTTTAATGGTTATTTTGCAAAAAATTCAATACTACAGGAAAAGTTGCAAGAACTGTAAAATAAACTCTTGTATATACTTTATCTAGATTTGACAACTGTTGATATTTTTGCCACATTTGCTTTTTCTCTTTGTGTGTGTCTTTCTTTCCATGTATATGTATAAAAGTATGTGCAACATATACATGCACTGTTTTTAAAAAGCATCTGAAAATAAGTTGCCAATATTACGATCTTTAATTACAAAACAATTCATGCATCTCCTAAGAACAAGGACATTCCCTTGCACAACCACAGTGTAGTTACCAAATTTAGAAAATTTAATATTAATAACAATGCTATTAACTAATAGAAAATCTATCAAAGTTTGCCAATTGTCCCAATAAAGTCATTTAGTTTTTTCTGATCCAAGATCCAATCCAGAATCATACTGCATGTATCTGTCATTTCTCTTCGCTCCCATTTAATCTTGAACTGTTCCTCAGTCTTTCATGACATTGATGAAACTCCTCCTTTCTAAGAAATAGAAAGTAAGCTTCAGGCTCACTGTGCTTCAAACCGGTAACAACATTCAGCCAGGAATGCAATTGATTTTTGTTTTCTGAATATATCTTTTATTTATGGCAAGTGACATTGGCTTCTTACTTAGGGGAGTGATATATAGTTTCTTTAATTTTTTTTTTCATTTAAAAAGTGAATTAATTTAAAAGAAAATATTAAGGGATAATAGGACAGGCGTGTAGATCTAGTCCAAGTTTTCTCAAACTCAGCAGTCCCTGGTACTTGGGACCAGGTAATTCTGTGCTGTGGGGGCTGTCCTGAGCATTGTAGGGTGTTTAGCAGCATCCCTGGCCTCTACCCACTAGATGCCAGTAGCACCCCCTGTGCTATCTCTGGTTGTGACAACCAAACATGTCTCCAGACATTGCCAAATCTCCCTGGGAGGCGAAGTGAAGAGCCACTGCTGTAGCCAAAAACTATGAGTGGAGCGCGAGTGACAGGAGCCTGGGAACCTTGGCGTAGAGTATCTGTCCAGTTCAGCTCCAGAGATCTTTATCAAGTGTTGCCACATGTCAGGCCCTGCTCTAGGTCCTGGGGAGACAGTGGATCAGGATGCAGTCCAGCTTTTCAAGAGCAGCATTTGAAATTAAAAAGGGGCAGGAGATGTCTGAGAGGCAGAAAAGGTAGGAGCTGGGAAAAGCTAGACCACCACCTAGACCTAAGTCTCAATCTCATCATGCTCATGAAAACTCTCATTCTTTTCAAGACAAGAATCAGATCAAGTGATTCTCCTGATTAAAAGCCACCTGTTTTTTCCTACGCTACTTAGAACAAGATCCAAACTCCTCATAGGACTTAAAAGATCCTGCAAAATCTGGCTTCTGGCTTCCTCTGGGGCCTGAATTTTTTTCTCTTTCCATTGCTCCCAGGCTCCAGCCACCCAGGACTTCTGTCTCTCTTAAGGTCACACCACGCTTATTTCCAAACGAGGGTCTTTGCACTGTGATGTCCTCTCTGTCCCAGCTCTTTGCAGAGCTGGATCCTTGTCATTAGGTCTCCGTTCCAATGTCACCTCCCCTGACCACCTTATATACAGGAGCCCTCTGTCCCATCATCCTGTGTGATTTCTTCCATAGCACTTTCCGTGGCAGACATTGTCGGTTGGCTCACGTGACCTCCAGGGTCACGGCCCTTCTCCTTAGTGACTACCCAGGCAGATCTGGGTAGTCATTGCCATCTGACCCATATCTGGCCCAAGAGAGATGCAGGAATCTTCTGGCACTGCCTGATACAGCCTATGCCCTCACCGCTTCTTGACCATCCTGCTGAATTACAGGTGTGATGACTGGAGCTGCGCAGCCATCCTACGACTGTGCAGGAAAGACCATGCCCAGGTCAGATCCTCGAGCCATAGAACAGCATTGGCGGCCTCCTACCTTCTGTTCCAGGGAGAAAAATACCCCCCCCCAGGGTTTAAGCCACTATAATTAGGTTATCTGGTGTTTGTAGCCAAAAGCATCCCTAACTATGTGAAATTGCTGTGTGAATTTGCCTTTTTGTCCATATCCCCTCAGTGGAGACTCCATGCACCATGAGCCAGGAAGTCATGTCTGTCTCGTTCACGACTACATCTTCAGCCCTGAGGCACAGGGCCTGACTCATGACAAAGTTCAATAACTCTAAACCTGTGTGTTCCCTAGTTCCACCACACATGAAATCGGGATTGTCACAACACCTTGACAGATTGTAAGGATTAAAAGTGTCAATATGTGTTTAGCACTTAGAGCAGTGCCGGGCACATAACCATTGCCCAAAGGATTGCTATTATTTGTTGACTTAATGAGCTAATTAATTTATAGAAGAAAGAAATTCCTTCCCTGTGTGCTTTTTGCAGTGGTGTCCTCTGGCTTCTTCCTTCTCTTTAAATCAAAGCTGTGTTTGCCCGGTGCTGACAAGTCAGGCTATAGATTAAGCAACATGACCACGGCAGTTGGAAGAAATGCACACCGTTTACAGCGAGCTGCGGGATTAGCACCTTTAGGGGAGGGAAAGGGGACCAGACACTGACACACAAAAGGGTATGGCGCATGAAGCCTGGCATATTCTGAAACGCAGGCCAAGAAATGCTGGAAATGAAATCTAATATGAGGTTTTGCGGGTGTGCGCCGTGGGAAGAACAGAACACCTCACTGCAACGGGCGCTCAGTGGAAGCCACTCAGAGGTCAGTTGGAGGTTATAAGGAGGGAGATTCAACATGTGTGGTGTGGGGTGGGCTACAGCCCACTGGGGCTAAAGGGGTTCATTTATTCACTCAATAAAATATTTGTTAAGCACCTACTATGTGCCAGGTACAGAGGGAACTGGCAGAAAAACATTAAGTACTGCCACGACTGAGATGATTACAACTGGGTGATCCTGAAGACGCCACGGTCTTTCTTCTCTAATTGCCCTGCAACCATGTAGATGCTAGCCCCAAATTCCAGATCCCACATGACTTAGTTTATGACCAATACTACTGCTACTAACTTTTTCCAGTACTTACTCTGTAACAAGCGTTATACTGAGATCGCTCTACCAACTATGGCCAATGTCACTCCCTAGGAACTTACTCAATATCCATTTCCCCTTTTTTTTTTTTTTTTGAGACAGAGTCTCGCTCTGTTGCCCAGCTAGAGTGCCGTGGCATCAGCCTAGCTCACAGCAACCTCAAACTCCTGGGCTCCAGTGATCCTCCTACCTCAGCCTCCCAAGTAGCTGGGACTACAGGCACCTGCCACCACACCCAGCTAATTTTTCTATTTTTAGTAGAGACATGATCTTGCTATTGTTCAGGCTGGTCTCAAACTCCTGAACTCAAGCAATCCTCCCACCTTGGCCTCCCAGAGTGCTAGGATTACAAGAGTAAGCCACTGCGCTTGGCCTCCCTCTTCTTTTTTTACTAACAGAACACTCATTTTTATTCAGGGTGGCATTAAAGAACACAGGCACCCACACTTGGTGATTAACATCCAAACATACACCCTAATGGACACAGAAGCATCATTTCCTTTATTTGTCACAAGTGAGGTGGAGGTCAATGCCATCCTTATTATACAGGTGAATAAACTGAAGTTCAGAGAATGTAAATTGCCAAGGATCATACAGTGTCTAGCTGGCGAAGATGGAATGTGAATCTAAGCGATTTGGTCCTTCTATTCTTTTCGTCTCTTTCCATTTGCACAGAGAGCACATAGATACATTTTCTCATTTCACCCTCCCAAGAACCTTGGCAGGTAGTGTAACAGGTAAGGTTTTCAATTACCTGCCAAAATATGTTC